CTTGCATTGTACACTTGCTTTCTAGATGTAACATTTTCAGAGTTCGCAATTTTTAAACTTTGGAGAATTGGCTTAGGCTTGCAACCCGCCTCAGATAAGTCTCTCACCAAAGAAATCTCTTGCTTTGTCAATTTACCAGCAAATGCGTGTCCCACTAAGCTCGTTGGAATAACATGATTGTGAAATCAACAATTAACCTGCAATCGCCATAAATTTCGCTCCACTTCACTCCCATATAATGCAAAAGGGCAATCACTTTTTTTTTGTTCTTGTAACTTTCTTTCCTTTATCTTGTTGCACCCTTGGAGTATTGCCTTTTTTTTGCAGCTCGATACTTCCCGAATTTTTCACATGCGAGAAGGACATTACCAAGCTTTTTAGAATTACTTGGCCTCGATTTTGCAATAGTTAAGACCATGTTTCTCTTAAGCGCCTCAACTCTAGCCCAATCAATCATAGACTCCCGATCCGCCCAAGTTTTATGAGTTTGAAAGTCTTCTGAAAAATCATGTGAAATGAATGGTTGTGCTTCTTCAACAATTGGAGGTTCAAACTTCACTTCTTATTCGACAAAAGTCGAGCTATCATCATGAAAAGTAAGACTGACATACACGTCACTGTCATTCTGCATATATCATATTTTTATAAAAGCAAAAAATATGAGATACATGTATTACAAGCAAAATACATTTATATTTGGACTTTTTATACCTGACTTATTTTTCATAGTTGAACAAAATATGCTCACCAATTTCTTAAATTAATAATTTATTAAATTCACTTAAAAATGCAAAATATTATACTTCGTAACTCATTAAATTTACAAATAGAAACATATTTAAAAACTGCAATACTTTTTTTATTTTCAATACTTCTATTTTTTAGTTTCGTACATGTGTTACTAATATCTAAGTTCGATATAGTATAAAATAAGATGAGACCGAAACGAGTTCAACTGAAAATATCAGTTACACTATACAAGTTTGAAAATGATCAAAAAATTAATTATGCTTATTTATATTTAAAATTTTGGATCAATAAAAAATATATTAAACTAACATTCTAAATTATATGTAGGAGCCGTTAATTTATAAAAAAGATAATATGAAGTGTACTTATTAGTTTGACAAAAATTAATTATTGGGTGACATTTATTTTAATTATTATAATACAAATAAGGATGTTTTTAATTGAATTAAAATTTACTAATCTAGTCTAATCTGGTATAATTTTATATTACTTGTTCTAGGAAGTTTGGTCTAGTCTAGTCTAGTTTGAACTGGTCTGTCCTATTAGATGTATGTTTATGCGCGGTTTTTTTTTCTATTTGTGTTATACAACTATCGAAATTTGATTTGGTTTGGAGGTCGTTTGGAACCACTGTTTTTCGGCTTATGGGGCTTATCAGCCAGTTTTTTCGCCAAACACGTAACTTTTACTTTCGCCCGTTGAATTGTGTAATAAGCACAAAAAGTAAGGCTGAAGTTACTTTTCTGGCTGTATTGGCTAAAGTTAGTGTAGGTGACCATTTTAGCTATTTTTACATATAATGTTTTCTTTATTTTATTAATAAAATATATTTTAAAAATAATTTTTTCTTAAATCAGCAGAATTAACCAATGCAACCTGAACTTCATAAATTTTAGCAGAACCAGCCAAATCGGCTGATTTTCGTGCTACCAAACGGGCTCTTGATTTGGAATAAAAAACATCACAATTAAACATCTCGATTAATTTTTTTTCTTCTAGATACTGTCAATCATAGTGATATGATAATAGAAGAAAAACAATTTTTATTCAATATAAAGATGAATCAAAAGTGTATATATGACCATCAAAATATTAACGAATATTGTATACGACAAACTTAATGAATCACATCACAAAGAAGAATGGAGATACAGATAGTGGTAGGGGTGGGTTCGGTTCTTGCGGTTCGATTCTGACCTAAAACCAAATATAGAATCAAAGTAAAAAGTTCGGTTCGGTTTCGGTTCGGTTTTACACTTCAAAACTTGGAACCACGGTTTGATTGGTTCGGTTTGTTTCGATTCGGTTTCGGTTTTTTCGGTTTTTTTGCCAAAAAATTATCATTTGATTTAAAATTGTTATAATACTTTGAGGGATCAAACATATACATAATATTACATAAAGAATGCAAGCACACTACAACAAATAAAATAAAAATAAAAATAAATAAATATGTCTTGAATTATATGAGTATGCGAGAGAGATAAAAATATATATTATTAATCTACATTGTTTGTGACTAGTTCAAAAAAAAATTCATGAGTATATAGTTATATACGTTCTATGTGATATAGTTGAGATGAATATTTATTGTTTCATCAATATGAATTCTTTAAGTTAAATAAAAATAAAAGTTAATTAATACGAGTACTAATAACTAGTAAAAACATATTATCATCATTTCGTATAGCTACATTATTACGGACAATGAATGTGTAAATGAATTTATAAACTAAACTAAACATAACACAAACATTATTTCTCTAGCACAAGAAAATCAAAGACTATTAATGATATTAGGATTTGTTAGGATTAATGCTTAACAATTGCCAAATAAATTTTATATTTTAATTAGTTCGGTTTGTTCGGTTCGGTTTTGAAGAGTAAAAATCAAAACCGAACCAAACAACTACGGTTCGGTTCGGTTTTTTACATTTGGTTTCGGTTTGTTAGCGGTTCGGTTTTATTTGGTTACGGTTCGGTATGATTTGATTCGGTTTTCGGTTTTCGGTTTTTCGGACCCAGCCCTAGATAGTGGGACAGATGAATACCACATAAGTGTGAAAAGCAAGAGTACTTTTTTTTAGATAATTTTCAGATTCATCCTCCATTGTATAAGAAGATTGTAAAAAAATTATAAAAGCATTAGTAACGAGTTTTAAATATTTATATAGTAGTTGTTTGATGGTAATTAGAAAGTGTAATTGTGATTGTATAAGGAATTTAAGTGCATTTGGAAACATGTAACACAAACTTTTGGAAATATAAATACCTTTTTTTTAAAAAAAAAACGGCTTGTGATTTTGGAAGCTACAAGGTCAAAAAAACGGCTGTGTGTTTGACTTAGGTTAGGAGGTGCGCCTAGTAATCTAGTACCATTAGAATAGATTACTTGGCTGAAGGACATAATTGACCAGATTGGCCAAAAAAATGGTGCGCTAAGCCATTAACATGGCGCGCGGAGCACGAGCGTTTTTAATTAGGGGTTATGTCTAAAATAATACTAAAAAAAGAGCTATGAACAAAAAAGAGACCTTTATTTCAATTTTCCAAAAATGAGACTAACAATGGGTTAAGAGACTATTATACCCTTATTTTAATAGAATCTCACCCATTAGTCTACAATAACGCCACAGTGACCAAAACCATTATCGTGACCAAAATTCGTCACTGACCAAAAATCATTTGTGACCAAAAATCCAAAAATCCGTCAGTGACCAAAATCATTAGTGACAAAAAATTCTACCTAGTTACCAACGTCAACCCGTCCAGTGACCAATCCGACTAGTGACCATGACCAATCCACCCAGTGACCAAAAATCATTTGTGACCAAAATTCCAAAAATCCGTCAGTGACCAAAATCATTAGTGACCAAAATTTTTACCTAGTTACCAACGTCAACCCGTCCAGTGACCAATCTGACTAGTGACCATGACCAATCCATCTAGTGACCAAAAATCATTTGTGACAAAAAATCCAAAAATCCGTCAGTGACCAAAATCATCAGTGACCAAAAATTTTACCTAGTTACCAACGTCAATCCGTCCAGTGACCAATCTGACTAGTGACCATGACCAATCCACCCAGTGACCAAAAATCATTTGTGACAAAAAATCCAAAAATCCGTCAGTGACCAAAATCATTAGTGACCAAAAATCATTTATGACCCAAAATCCAAAAATCCGTCAGTGACCAAAATCCGACTAGTGACCATGACCAATCCACCTAGTGACCATGACCAATTCACCCAGTGACCAACCCGATTAATAACAGTTACATGATCCTCCAGTTACAATTATCTGATTCGCGAGTTATAGTTATCTGACCAATCAATTATTGTTATCCGACTTGACAATTACGTTACCCAATTGACCAGTTATAGTTACATAGTTAAGTTACCGGGTTCACGTTTAAAATTACCCAATACCACACCTCCGACCACCGCTGGGGACTACCACCTCCGGCCAGGCGACTACCACCTCCGACCGCCGCCGCCAACACCCAGCCCCCTGCATCACCCCCAGGCCCCAGCCCTCACTCCAACCCCACCCTCCAGTCCCTGCCGTGATCGGCAATCTGCAACACCCTGCTAGCAGCAACCCCACAAGCGGCCAGCCCCACCACCCCAGCCGCTAGCTCCCCAGACCCCACCAGCCAAGCCCCACCCCAGCGGCCAACCTCTGGAGCCCCTCTCCATCCCCATCAGCTCAGCCTCTCAGACCATACCCCACCGCCCACCCTACCCAAAAATCCTAGTCATCAACCAAGGTGTAGCCGTCGTCTCCACCTCCGGTCGAACGCTGCTCAGATTCGCTACTGCTGGGAGCAATTTTCTTCCCCTAATTTCGTAACCTTTTTTCAGATTCGCCTCGATCGAGATCTGAATAAGGTCGAGGAGAATATGAACCTATTCGCCATTGGAAAGAAATAATAGGAGAAGAAAATCGTTGGTGGTGGAACGGCGGTGAAGTAGATAGACTACGACGGAAGCGATAATGGAGATGGAAGTGAAGTCGGCGCCGGTGACGGAGATGGAGCCACATCGGGAGATAACGCAGAGGACAACGCTACTGTAGATGTGCGTGAGAGAAAGATAGTAATCGAAGCCGTAGGGAGAAATCGGGCTTTTTAAATGAACTTGGTCTCTTTTTTGTAAAATAGAAACTTGATCCTATTTTTGTCTATGGAAACCCGTGCAGTTCTATTGATGTCATTATTTCTTTTATTAACTACGTTTTTTTTGCAAACTTAATTACGGAGTATTAAATTAACAAATTTGGAACCTTTTATGATAAAAAAAAACAAATTTGGAACCTTTGTGGGGAAGAGACAATGGCATCCAACAGAGAGGCGCGACGGCGACGTATAGTGGACAAAGGATCCGACCGGATTGCCCTCATCACCGGCCAGATCCGCTCCCTCCAGCCGAGCTGCGTCTCCGAATCCGAACTGCGACATTCCCACACCGCCTCATGTCCGCCCCATCTCTCTCCCGAAGCCCACGAACCCGACCTTCCATCCCTGGGTACTCTCTCTTCCTCTCACTATTAATTATACTATTCATGCCGTTTTTTTCTTATCATGGTTACTATTTTCTGTAACTCAGTTGATTGTTTGTTTTTTAGAAAAAATATTGTTGATCAATGTGATATATTGACTAATGATCATCACAACCCCTTCAACCTTTTTGTTTATTATGTTCTGAATCTGCCGAAAATTTTATGGGCAGTCTCCCTTAGAGTCAGGGGCGTATTCAAGGGGGCAGGGGCAGTTTCCCCTTTGTATATATCCAATATACAATTATACATAACCAAAATTCTCCATGGCGCAGTGGAGAGCATGGGCCGTGCAATTATCTGGTTCTCAAGAGGTCAAGGGTTCGAAACCTACCTTAGGTTTTTTCATTTTTGTTTTACTTTTCCCCTATGTAGCACGGAAGCCCTCGGGAAAGAGTACGTTTCCATTTTGGAAACTCTATGGAAACTGTCCAAAGAATTGGAAACACTCCAAACAAGCCTTTTTGAGCAAAAGTTTAAGTTTCCCGTTTCCTCATGAATTTCGCATTTCCGTGCAACATAGCTTTTCCCTTTTTGAAGCCTTAAACAAATTTAAAGTGACTTTACATACTTCTATTCATTTTTTGTTTTGTTGAAAAGATTTGAACTACTTCAATGTAATTACAATTTGAATTTCACATATAATTCATAAAGTTTAACAATTACATTTTTACATAATATAAACTGATTTTTTTGTATACTTGTGAATTCACAACATAATTTAATTCTAAGTACATACTTGATCCTTCTCTTATTCAATTCATCTATTTATTTACATAATTTTGAACACATTACAAACCGTGTGATTAAAATTTAATTATAAAAATGCGAAATTTTATTTACCATGATTTTTTAAGTATGATATTATAATGTTTGTCCAGTGAATATTTTGTTATCTATAATTTCTCTTACAATGTTTTTTCTTAGTATGAATAGTTTGTGACATGCATGAGATAATATCTAGTATGAGTTCGCCCCCTACGAAATTTTCTGGATACGTCACTACTTGGAGCAGCCTCTTGTCAAGATGACAAGGGAAGGGCTTGCTCCTTATATACCGTTGTGGTGGTCCCTTCCCGGGAATCTCATCTTTTGGGGATTTTTCTGACAAAGGAAAGCTTGCTGCTTATATACCGTTGTGGTGTGGACTCTTCCTTTGGAACCTCGTCTTCATGGATGTTTCTATAGCTGTTCTTCTAAGTGGGCGTATATGTATACCATGGTTTAAAAAGGCGCTTACAGGGTGGGTTTTGAGGCGCGCCTCAAGGTGAGGCATACAAAAAAGGTTTTGGGGTTTAGGTTTTTTTTTTTTGCAAGACAAGAGGCGTACGCCTCAAAAGTCAAGGCGTACCCCCTGAGGCGTTTTCTCGTTTGCTTCTATCTTTTTAATGTCCTTGTAGCTTAAAAAGGCCCAGTGTGATTATTTCATAATAGGCTCTTATATTAAACATGTGTCTGCACTAAACCCTACGTCCCTAACAAGTCTTGTTTCATTTAAATCCTAACATATACTTTCTATGAAGCATTCTACGTGTTGTTAAAATTTATTTAAACTTCTGCACCAAGAAGTTGATGGGTAAACAAATAAAAAATAAGAAAAATAAACAACTAATGGAGTTAAATAATGATGAAGAAGAAGAGAAATAATATAAGGATTTTGATAGTGATGATGGAAGGGATGACGGTGAGAAGGCCATAAGATATAATGATTCTTGCGGTGGCCTTCCAGTCATGATGATTAAGCTTCGAGAGTTCCAACTTGTCATATGTATCATGTGTATGTTTTGTGCTTGAATTCTCATTTTGAGTTATCATGTTTGATAATGTGATCATATATGTGTGTTTGAGGCTTTTTGGACTGTTATTATGCACATATATAGTTGGTTATTACTAGTTTACCTATCTTAAGTACTCCCAGAGTCCCAGGTAAATTTTGAGGCTTATGCCTCGATACCCGAATTAGCCTTTTTAAACCTTGATGTATACGCATTTTTTCGAAGTCTTCCTTTAGAAGATGCTGACGGCTTTTGGTGATCTGTTGATGGAATGTTCATGTCCGAAGAGTTCGTTTCAAGGGGAAACAGCAAACAATCTCTCTCTCATTTATAATAAAATCATGTTAATGCTGCATATGCAAGACAAAGGTCTGTAGTGAATTCCTTTCTTGGGGAGCTAATAAACTCTTGAAGCTTTGTCTTTCAAATGAGAAAATATTTGTCTTTGAAGTTAATAGAGGAGCTGCTGTGTACTATGCTTTTTGTTTCTTGTTCTGGATGGGAAGTACATCTATTCTGCTTCATTTAATTTTCTGCTGCATGTTTACCTCAAGTTTTAGTTGATTAAGGTTTTTTGTGCTTGTTCGCGTCATTCCTGTGGTACTCGCAGGCTCAGTTTGGTAGCCATTCTGGTATATTTAGTGGAATATAGGTAGGATTTTGACATGCTTATTTGGCTGAAAGGTATATTACCAAACACATTTTTTTTTCCAGAAAAAATGAGCTGGTTCAGCCTTATTTAAGCCAACTATCCTACTTACGAAATGGTGGTCCCTTAGTGCTGTGTGTGTAAATTACTTGTTTGCAGGCTCTATTGCCGAAGACTCGGTTTCTGGGCATATGTTGGAAAATGATAATGAGTCTGTTTCTGAGCCTGGCCATAAGAACAAATATGAAGGTGAAAACAGAGAGAGCACTGGAGTTTCATCATCATTGGGTCTTCACAGCAAACAAGTGCAGGTCTCATCTGCTGCAATTACTGCTTCTGAAGGGGGGGATCATCATCGTCATAGAAAGCGAATGAGCAACCATCCAAGTATCTTCACTCCCCAGAAAATCATGTCTGCCATTAAATCATGCGAGAGCATTCGCATTCGCTGCTCTCTAGCAGCTTCCCTTCTAGTAGTGTTATGTTATGTAGGATGTCCTATCCTGGGGACCCGCTTGGTTAAGAGTATTGTCCTTTTCAGACCACTGTTTTTGCTTCTTCTGACCAACACATCGATCGTTGTTGGACTCCTTCTCTTAGAAGATGCAGGGTCTGGAAGGGTGGTTCAACAAGAATCTAGCAGTGGAGTTTTAGCAGACGAGAATGATTGGGCAGATAGGGTGGGAAAAGCCTTAGAGCTTGGGCTGATGTTGCAGAAAATTATGGGTGCACTGTTCATTGATGCTAGTATATATGCAATATCAGTTATTTGCAGTCTTTCCTTTACACAACAACTTGGATGGTAAGTGTCCTGTTCACAATTGCTTGCTCGAGGAAGGAAGGTTAATTCTGGTATAAAAGAATGTAGCTTTCTCTTTTATATACAAGGAACAAAAGTTTTGCTGTAATGGGAAATTTTTATAGTCCAGATTGCATTGATAATGGTCATTTTTGGGATTCTTGTTCTGTAAACTTTACATGAATGCCTAAGTATCGTCTATATTTTCAACCTCTACCATAGAATTTTATGCAAAGCGAACCATAGCTCATGTGTGCAAAGCGAACAAGAGGCCAGTGTAGGCGTGGAATGCAGTGTTATGTTTGCCTATTTGGGATCGTTGGTTTGGCATGAATGGTTGTTTATGCTAAGGGTGTTCGGTTTGGTCAGTTTCCGTTGGTGTGAGATGATTTTTTGGTTGGTTTTCAGAAGAGAGAACTGGGAACTGAACCAAAAGGAATACGGTTTAGTCGGTGGGGTTTGAAAAGTGATTTATTCATCGGGGTTTAAAATTGGGGTTAGATCATGAATAATACTAATTTAAAGTATTTGGACAAATATAAGACCTCTTTTATTAACTTCCGAAAAAGAGACCATACGTGTCTTTTGAATGAATTATGCCCTGCCGTAATATGTACTAAATCTTCAATGCCATTTCTTAGCTCCTTTAAATGCTACAACCATTTTAAAGATAAAAAAAAAGTGTCCATTTTTATATCTCTGGGATTATGGTTATCTAACGACAATTTACAGTTCCCTATAGTTACAGTTACATGTCCAACTATTTATTCTTAATCGCCCAATCAGTTAAAGTTAACTGTCATTAATCACAATTACTCGACTCGTTATTTATAGTTACATGATTCGTCAGTTATAGTTACCTGATCTGACCAGTAACTTACCCGACCAATTACAGTTACTTGATCCATCAACTACAGTTACCTAATCTGAGCGTCAGTAACAGTTATCCGATACGACCAATTATAGTTACCCGATCCACCAGTTACGGTTACCCGATCCGACCAGTTATAGTTACTCGACCCGTCAGTTACATTTACCCAATTCGGCCAGTTACAATTACCGGATCTAACCAGTTACAATTACCTAATCCGTCAATTACAGCTACCTGATCCGACCAATTACAGTTACTCGACCCGTCAGTTACAATTACCCGATTCGACCAGTTACAATTACCAGATCTTACCAGTTATAGTAGTTACAGTTACCCGATACGTCAGTTACAGTTACCTGATCCGACCAGTTACTCGACCCGTCAGTTACAATTACCAAATCCGATCAGGTACAGTTACCCGATCCAACCCGTTAACGTTACTCAGTTGACTGGTGCTAGCCACCACCGCCAGCCGCCGCCGCACACCCACCGGCATGACCACCGCACCTATAGTCCCCTTCCCTGCAGTCCAATTCCTCTGCACAAACGCTGCCACACACCCGCCTCAGCCCCTGCAACCACCCATCCCACATTCGGCACCCAACCACTGCACACCATCGCCTTCCCCAGCGATGAGCGTTGCCGCCCCTACAGCCCCTTCCCAACCCCAGCCCTTGCACAATCATAGCCCCACACCGGCACCTATCCATGCAATCGCCGCATATCACGGCTACATCCGTTCCCCAATGATGAGAACTTGATAGACCATCGGTTTAGCAAGAGAGCACGCAGGAGGAGTACACGGTTGGATGATTACGTGGCATAGGAGGAAGTCTGAAGCTACCTAGGAAGTTGTCGTTCACAATTATTTTCCATTACTTCTATTTTATTTAATTAATTAATTGAGTTGACTCCTAATAGATCACTATTGTTTTATTTAGTAGATTCCTAGAATATTACTACTGCTATAGCTACTTTACTAGTCCGAGGAGAGGTTGTGCTCTGTTCTCTCCCAGATCATTAGTTGGGTATAAATACCCAATCATTCTTTGAATAAAGAGGGGAGTAATTTTCTTCTAAAATTGGTCATCTATCACCGTGAGATAGAAGTTGGTCTCTTCATGATACGTAAGGCCGGCCGGGGGTCGGCAGTCCCTCAGAATTTCTGCATTCATGATCTCCCTTGTGAAGGGAGAAGTGATTCCAACCCGTGCTGGCGGGGTTTGCTGGGGCGTCTGATTCATCTGCTCTCTGAGTTCAGTCATTTGCCTCCTCATTTCGGCAATTTCTTCGTCCTGGGCCATTCGGGGAGCTCGAGGTGTCCTTGCCTCCACGAATTCTGGCACCCTGTCCGGGAGAGGGGCAGCTGTGTTTGCCCTTCTCCGGATGAAACGTTCCCCATCTCTCTCCACGTACTGGAAATATTGCCCAACGGGATCTACCATGGGGGTAACTTCCCTGTATTGGGCTTCGTTTCGAGGTATGAATGGGTTTGGTTTGCCGGGGTCTGCTGTGCGTACCGAGGGGCGTGGGCCCTCCACTGGTTCCCCCGGTGTTCCTGGGAATGTGCTGAGGCAGTGGTGGTCTCAATATCTTCCCTTTCATCGAAGGATGGCATGGGACGGACAGGGGAGAATTGCTCATGAGTTTCGTCGGTGTATCCTCCTCCTTGCTCCTGTTCGTTTGCCATGCACTGCATGGCCGCTGCCATTTCCCTCATTAGTTGAGGGTCTCTTCTTACATCAAGTGGGATGATGTTCTCAAATTCCTGTGTGGCACTACCGTTGGCCTGCCCCTGCATAGACCAACCCTCGGAGGATCCATTGCCTCTTCAGCCCCTGGTAGCGGAACTTGGTGTTGCCGAAGTGATTCTAGCCATTTCACAGGAAGTGGTGCTTAGGTCAAAGGTTTTGCTTGGGATTTTTGTTCAGTTTCCCACAGACGGTGCCAATGTTGAGGTTTAATCCCGAAGATCCGAAAGCCCAACACACGCTTTGGATATTTAAGGACGTTAGGTTGGTTTGGAAAGTGTATAAAATATAAAATAGTGAAATATTAATCACTTAGGAGCTAACTAGTATTCAGTAATGCTGCGATTACACTGGATTACCCGAACGGTAGGTAAGTACAAGAATACAAAAATAAGAGAGATAATTCTAACTGCTAAGCTCTGAGTATCAAAATGCTAACCCCTTTACAATGTATTCAATGCAGGTATTTTTACTAGAGTGGGGATGGGTGAGATGGACACGTGGCTGAATCTAGTAGGCTGTAACCTCTGCCACGTATGCACCCATGCCTCCACTTGCTGCTGCCATGCTCTAGCATTAAATGCGGCTTCCACTTGCTGACTCCCCGTTCGGGTACACTGTTCGGTGTGCGGGGACCCCGCCATGGGTGTTTAGGCGTTAGTATTTCCTGAAATGCTCCAAGTAGAAGAACTGTGCCGAATGCCGATCGGGATGTTCTGGATTGCTTTGGGCCCTATGTTTTCCCCCGGCACCCCCACACTTTGGGCCAGGTGTATTGGGCCTAGACCCAATATCCCAACAAGGTGCATCACTCGGCCTTCTACGCACATAACCAAACCACCGCAAACGAGACTCCTGCATCTTATCCTCTATAGGCGCTACTCCCACCTTTTGTCTGATTATCTCATTCATCAATCGATCTTTTCTGGTATGTCCACACATCCAACTCAACATACACATCTCTGCCACACTCATATTTTGAATGTGACATTGTTTCACCGCCCAACACTCTACGCCATACATTAATGCATGCCCAATTGTTGTTCGATAAAATTTACCTTTCAGTCTAGTCTGCATACCTTGACACATAGAAAATCTGATGCACTCTTCCATTTCATCCACGCAGCTGTGATTCTATGGGATACATCTCCATCTAATTCACCATCCTTCTGAATTATGGTGCCCAAGTAACAGAACATATTACACACCAGTATCTCCTTACCATCAAGAGTAATTCCACTGTTCCTACTACTTCAACCTCCACCAAACTTGCACTTCATATACTCAGTCTGGCTTCGGCTCAATATGAACCCCTTGGTTTCCAATGTTTGCCTCCATGCTTTCAACTTTGCTTTAACACCTGATTTCTCTCATCAATCAATAAAATATCGTTGGCAAACATCATGCACCACAATATATTTTCTTGAATTGACTTCGTGAGTTAATTCATGACTATAACAAATAAGAAAGGACTTAGAGTCGATCCTCGATGCACTCCGATAGTAATAGAGAACTTTGCAGTCCTCCCTACACTAGTACAGATACTTGTAGTACAAGCCTCATACATATCCATGATGATACGAATATACTTACGTGATATGCCTTTTCGAGTTAAGGTCCCCCAAAAAACTTGTCGAGGTACCCTATCATATGCCTTTTCTAAGTCAATGAATACCAAATGCAAATCCTTTTTAGTGTTTATGTACTTCTCCACAACTTATCTAAGAAGGTGAATGGCCTCAGTTGTTGAGTGTTCAGGCATAAAACCAAACCGATTCTTCGAAATTATCACACTTTTTCGAAGTTTTTGATTAACCAATTGCTCCCAAAGTTTTATGTTGGTCCCGTTTAAGTAGGGAACAGTCTAGAGGGGGGGGGTGAATAGACTGTTCTGATTTTTCAGATTTTTCTCTAAGTCAAAACTGACTTATGAGAGGTGGTCCAAATCTGGTGACAGAGATGGTCGAGTTCTGGTGGCAGAACTAGACCAGGCAGTGGATAAGAGTTCTGTTAGGGTAGCCTCAAGAAAATACTAAGGCAAATGCCTTTCTGCAAACTCTAAGAAAAAGATCTGTTGAGCACAGATTCCAAGTTCTTGAGAGTTAGACAGTTAAAGTCCTAAGTGCAGAAATTAAATGCGTTAAAGTAAATGGCACCGGGGATTTTTTATAGTGGTTCAAGGAACAACACGTTCCTCTAGTCCACTGTTCCACTAAGCTTGTAAATCAACAGTTACAACGCTTTAGTCCCTAGAACTTAAGAAGCTCTCCACGTCTTCTTCAAGCCTAGTTGTCTCCTAGGATGCACTTCCTTGCTTCCTCTAAGACTGGTCCTTTCACTGAGCTTCCCGGAAGTATACCCACTTCACTACTCCAGTTAATTGGACGTCCTACTTTGTAGAAGATGTTTGAAAAACGGAGTTTTTCTCCAACTTGCTTCGTTACAATAGATTTGTTGATGAAGTGCTTGAAGTGTTGAAGAACTGGAGGAACTTTGCTCTTCGTTGGGGTTGAAGGTTTTGAGTAAAATGATCTTCCCAACGTAAGCTTTTTCTTGTAGATGAATATGGAGTTTGAATCTCAAGAGAGCTTTTT